CCCCCCCCTATTTTAAAAGTGAGCAACGGCCACGTTGTCCTCACATTTCGCAAATGTCCTCACATCCCAAGGTCTAAAATTCAAACCGGTCCTAACAAAGATAGACGTACGAGCTCACAAGCACACGCAAGCACAGAGGACCGCAGTGCACGCAAATGTGATTGGTAGAAATAATTTAAAAAATGCTTTGTGATATATTAGTGTGTGTAATGTGGGACAGAGCGACGGGCGTCCCTGAAAACAGCAAAGAAAAAAGTAGAATCATGTAATATTTATGGATCCGGAGTTGTGCGGGTGCCTTGGGTAAACGAAGGCGATTGACGCGCGAGTTGAACCAGCCGCATGTGATCTCCAGCCTCAGTCATTTTGGCAGCGCGATGCGAGAGAGACAGAGAGAGGGAGAGAGAGAGAGACAGACGCGGAGCTATGAAAGCGGACCTTCTGCCAGAGATGTCGACGGAGAGGAATCCCTGAAACCACCGCTGCCCAGGAAATATGGACAAATCTGGTTCGGCGTGCGAGTGCGGGCTGTTTTCTGTCGGTTTTTGCATATTGCTACAGTGTAGTGGACCAGGATGCCGTGTGGGCGATGCTGCCACAAGGGATACGTTGTGATTTCGCAGAGATGTTTTAGCAACCGATGCATAAATTAAAATAAGAAGAAGAAGAAGGAGAAAAAAACAATCACATGATTGATTGATTGATTGATTGATTGATTGATTGGAGTCCAAAGGAATCTAATAGGACATCACCACCTGTTACTAGAAAACCAGGTAAGCCTCACATACCTTTTTGTCGCTTTTACATTCACAGCCCATGACGAGCATTGGTACTTAATTATAATGTCCAGCATCTCTGAAATGAAGCATTAACCCACGCGCAATGCACTTTTTCTTGGTGGAGATGTTATTTGCGTTAATGGTGCGCTGAGATGTATCTGTCAGTCACCTATGGTGTAATGGATAATAAACCGTGGCATCCACCAATAGTTACGTTTGTGTGATGCAGTTAGCGGAACTTGCGATGGGCCTCGTGATAAATCAGTTTCCTTAATAGATGACATGCATGCGATATATGGGCTTGTAGAAACCTTTAACATTGGCTCGGTGCAGGTACACAGGCAGCACCCGCAGTTCCTCCAGCCAGTGCAGTGGCAGCAGACCTCCATAGTGCTATTCAGCTGCGTTAAAGTAGTCTCTTTGCCCTGGATGCCAGTAATCGACAACATTCCCACTTTTCTTTTTAAAAAAAGGCCATTTTTACAGCTCAAACGTCACTCAACTATTCACAAATCCATCATCATCCCTGTATCCTCTTTCTCGAGCCTTCCCAGCTTCTGCTTCTTACAGAAAGCATCAAGGCAAACGTCCATCTGTGGTAAACCTGAGGAGTATTTCAGCCTGCTGCTGCTGCTGCTGCTGATGAGGATGATGCTGCTGGCCCTGTGTGCTTTATTAGCTTCGCAGAAAACTCTTGAATCCCTGAGTGTTTCACAAAATTTACGATGCCTCTCTCGCTATAAGCTGGTGTGGCAGGGTGCTTACAAGGAAGGCTTGCTTTTAATCCATTATGGGCTGACAGACAGTCAGTGCAGTGTGCATCTATGGAGCTCACTGAGATGTAGAAATCAGGCTTCACCTCAGTGCTTTCAGGCTTGTAGCCTCAGTGTGTCCAGCTCGCTGCTCGTACAGGCATATTGAGCTGAGCTGCTCCATTCCCTGGTCATAGGTCAGGTGCAATCTGTTTGATATACTGTGGGTCTCACTTCTTACGGAGGGGACACACACATTGACATGTCATTGATGATTTTATGTCCTAGCACATGCCTCCCTCCCATCCCGTTTGTGCTGATGTTCTAAATCAAAAAGGTGTTGGGTCAAGGCGGCAGAGGTACACTGTCAGGAAATCGGGCCTGAGTGAAACGCTGTCGCTCATGTCTGGTCCATATGTCAGGCGCGAGATAGCCAGGGACAAGTTGTTTGAATCCTCCACGCTGCTGTGTTGCTCTCCGGATCTGCTGATAACTGGAGACTAGACACTGAGTTGTACCCAACAAAATCATGATCTAAAACCTTCACACATACACACACTGTTGATTGATTTGGAAACAATGTCTGCACTGCACAACCAAGTGTTCCTCCACACACTAATCAATAATCTGCTGTTCCTCCTGCAGCTGTATCCCACTGGGTCATTTAAAAATTGGGACTAGTTAAACGTCTTGAAATACACAAGTGGGAGAAGCCGTTCTAAGGCATCACTAGAAGCAGGGAATGTACACATTGCCATTAATTATACATGTTAACACATTCGAAGTGCTGTTATACTCCCCCAGCATTAGCCAGCAGCTTGATATGTAATAAGAGTTACTATGCATATTCAAGGGTTCCACTTTCTGTACTCTAAGCGAGGCAGAAGTTCATTTCTTTAAAATGCCACATGGCTTTATTCAGTGACCTATTTTGATCATAAAAATGAGTGCCGGGCTGAAAACGTAGCACAAATTTCTTGACAATGGTGGCAGAGGAAACTCAAATAGTGGCAGCCAGGGTAAGGAAAATAGAAGGTGAAAATGAAAACATTTAAAGGAAGTGTTTTAGTCCTTCTGACATTTTACCTCCAGCAGTTGTTCTATCTGAAAGGCATTTGAAAGGCCGGACATCTTCATTACAATCTAGCCCCAGAGCCCAAAAAGCAGAGAGGAAAAATGTATCACACCTGATGTGTCTGTGGGGCTTTTACAGCAACTGTTTGTCCAGCCATCCATACGAACTGCTCCAGATGTTAAATCCATAGAGGAGGAGCCATATGCTTTTATTTGCAGCGTGATGTATGAGCAGCGCAAATAAAAAGAGAACTGTATATATTTCTCTCCGAGGGAGCGCGCGGGGAAAATATATTAGTGGTCTGTGCCACAAAGTCACTGTCATGCAACAGGAAAACCATTAGTCTGGCTTAGCGGAGACTGATGGCTAATGAAGCAAATGCGCACCAAACTCTTCATGGCGGGGAAGACAGAAGACACAACTCTCATTTATATGCACCTCATATACCAGCCCATCTGATTTAGAGCTTTGAGACTGCAATGTAGACTTAACTCACTGAAAGCTACACCTAGATGATGACTGCTTTGAGAAAACCAATAAGAACTTATAATACCAATAATGATAAAATGAGACAAGCATGCTGGAAGTAACAAAACCCAGTGTAGAGAACCTTTATACCGGCACGAGTGGATTTCTGTTGAGGGTGAGCAGTGTTTCCTTTGTGCTTTACAACCTGTAAGGAGCCCAGGCTGGACAATTTTAGGTCACATTTGATTAATGTGGAGAATCTGCTTGTTCATTAAGCACTGCTGCCCTGACAGCACGCCAGAGTCGCAAATCAGCCTCAGTGGAAGCAGATCCTGTGCACTGTAAACTGCGGTGTTGTGTTTCCTTGTGAATGATTTGCTGTTCATTCAACATGTGAATAGTAAAATAGGGCAAACATAGTAAAACAGCCCTCAGCTGCACAGTTTTTACTTACAGTTGTGGAACAATTTTATGGGCCCAACTTAAACAACTGTGGATCGGTGCGCACCACAAGTTTATGTCTGGGTGAAGCAGCTAGTCAGCCAAAGTTATTTTATTTAAGCCATGAAACACCGTGGCGTCCACTCATGCAGGAATAACTTCAAGAGCTTCAGCAGCTGTAAATGATAAAATATAGATACATTTATTACTGGAATACGTGATATCAAAGGGGAAAATCAGGGACTTTCATCCGGTTCTCGAGTACATCCTTCCACAAAGAGCAGAAAAGGAAGCACATATAGGTTCTCTAAAATTAGATAATAAGCAGCCTGGAAGCCTGGCTGGTCTTTGGTACCTACTGATTAAAGATGCCTCAGCAGAGACCTCAAGGTTAGATCATTGCACTCCTGCAAAGGCTCCACTAAGCATGAGCCTTATAGATCTCTCCAGAGTAGTGAGACATCACCAAAAAAAAATCAAGCTTTAATACTGCTACAGCTTCTCGATTGTGAGGATTTACTGTTTTCTTCTTGTGTTTTAAATCATGTTGACTTTAATGCATTTTTGAAGATATTACTCTGATGAGCATTTTAAACTATTTCCCCATATTATATAGAATTAAATGTTTGTGGATAATGCAAAGGGATTTTTTTAAGAGCAGTTTTCTGGTAAATATGTTGCAGATCAAATGACCACAGAGGAATCATTCATATCTCTGTGGCTTTTTCCTGTATTAATTCATATAAAAATCTTCCAAACAGAAGATTTACCCATGCACAACATACATATACGCTCATCAATCCCCCTACCCGATCCCAGGATAGTAATTTTCACATCACACATTATGAGTTTATAAATAATTTGTCCAAGCGTTTGAGAAATGGCTCTATACTTTTCTACTTTATATTTAGTAAGTGAACAGCTGCGTCCCTCGACTGTGTAGCATCATTTCAGCGTAGCCCAGCCTTCAGCAATATGCTGAGCTTTTTAATCCTTTCATGTACTCAACACACAGCATGGTGCCATTTCCAGGCCCCAAAGTCCTCCCCTGTGAGGCACTCCAGGCTTCATTGGTTAAAATCTAAAAATGATGACATGCACATTGTATATATATTTAGGATCTGTTCATAATTAGGAGAGTGAATTCTATTATTCAGTGTGGTATAAAAGCTGTGGCATTCATTTGATGAACCCAATTAAGACCCTCGTGTACGATATCATGCTTGAATTGCCCAGCCTATTTATCCTTAGGCATTGCATCATAATGTCATGTGTAATATATATTAAAAAACTGCAATTCAATTAAAGAACCTGTCAGCAGCAAACATGCTGCGGGATCGGTTTAGTTTAGAGTTTGTTATCCATCGTGTGCCTGTTTCTGCCCCCAGATATCCAGCGATGTAATAGGGAACCAGTTTGTGAGATGATTCTCACTGATTTAAGTTGGCACCTACCTGATATCTGGTGGCTCCCTGCTGCCAAAAAACATAAATCATAGTCAGGAAGGTCATGAGCTCAGTCTATAAATGTGTCTATCACTAATTTACTCCTCTGCCTATCATTCACGAACATCTGGCATGAAGAGTGCCGCTGGCTGTAACTGGCGATCTCAGGTATCGACTTACGAGGTAATAAAATACGTTTTTTTTTTTGACAAATACGCTAAAAGAACTGAAAACGTGGGGAGATGCTCTTTACATCTCGCCCCAATGATCGATCTCCAACGTAATCAGAGAAAAAAGAAAGAAGTGTAGCACCTCCAGCGTTACACTAAAACAGGCCCTGTTGAATACAAGATGTACTCTGTAAATACGCAACTGTTCAAACAGCTGCCTCTTGACATGAGCCTGTTCACTGCTGGAGTAAGGCTGAGGGGTGAGCTTATTAGCGTCAGCAGCAGACAAGCCAGCACACAACAGTTTTAGCACAATTCTTCGTGTCAAAACCAAATAATCAGTCAGCAGAGAATTATTCTGGCTTCAGAGTTGTGTCCATTTGTTGTTACTGCTTCGAGCTGCCTGCTGTTATTATGAAAGTAACAGCCGATTCACAGATTATCAAAATTCATAGATTTTAGCTTCTTAAATGTAATTGTTGCTGCATTTTTGGTCTTCTTTGGTAGAAAATGGAATTTATTTGGGTGATGGATCATCGATCCCAGAAACTTCAGTGCTTTTTGTATTTTAATTTTTGTATTTATATTTGTATTTTAGAAGACAATTATAGCTATAAAGTCAAGTGTAGTAAGGTGAAGGTTT